TACAGGTAGCAAACTACATAACCTAACAATGTAAAACAAGCATCAATAGATGGAAAAGATCATAAAATAAATATATCTTATCGATTAAGAAAAAAAAGTGGTCTCACCGTTTAATTATCCGATGTTAAAAAAATTACAGAAACGGTTGGATTTCAAATAAAGCAGGGCTCGTTCCGTGCAAACGTAAACAACTGATGTGAGTAATGGCGTCAGTGATGCTCAGTAGAAAGGAAAGAGCGCAGCACTAGTCGGTGGCGCTCTAAGGCCCGCGAACTATGAAATAGTTTGATGCGCACCATTACCCGACGCGCACGATTCCCTCACTCTCCCTTAAAGCAATAATAGTTTAGAGTCATTAAACTTTATTCTTCAGCCAGTTCATATTAAAAGAAAGGCTGAAAAGTGGTATAGGTATAATAAAGCCTTATTAATGGTATACTTTAGAGCTGCAACAGAGCTTCTTCATCTTTATGTTCAGCCTATACCAAGTAGCTGAATAAAGGTATACAATTTGACTTAAGTAGTGCTCTTCCAGTCTATTGTGCAGCGTATTTCTAATTGGCGATTAGTGATGAACTTTAGAACTGCAACAGAGCTTCTTCAGCTTTATAATCAGCCTATACTAACAAGCTGAATAAAAGTATACAAATTAATTTAGTAGCGCTCTTCCAGCCTATTGTGCAGAATATTTCTAATTGCTGATTAGTGGTTACTTCAGGGCTGCACAGTTATTTTTCAGCTATATGTTCAGCCTATACTAAATAGCTTAATAAAGGTATAGAATAAAATATGACTTAACTAGTGCTCTTCCAGCCTAACGTTAATATTGTTAGTTTATCTTCTTCCGAATATATATAAAATTATAAAAAACATTAACCAGTAGCTAGCCTGTTTTAAAGTGAATATTATACAGAAAAGGATCTGCAATAAATCATGCATATGTCAGTTGTAATATGTATGAACATATAAACCAGTCATAGTATAATATTTCACAGTACATACTGTGTATTTTTTAATATTGAGCATTGGAATATATTGTAATGTGAGTCATTTCGTTATTCAGTCATGCTCTAATCCTCCACCTTCTCTGTCTTATTTGGCCTTTGAGGCTCAACTTGTCCGATTATCATATATAATTAAACTAACGTAACATTGGTGTCGAGAAGTGGGATTGTGTAAATAAATAGTGATTTAAATGGCTAAAAGACTGTGTGATTTAAAAATGAACGAGCTACGTCGTTAGTTAGAAGATCGCGAGTTGAAAATGACAGGGAAGAAAGCAGAACTAGCAGAACGACTTAAAGAAGCAATAGAAAATGAAGGTTTGGATCCGAAAACGTATCTATTTTCGGATGGCGCTTCTTCTATAATTTCGTCAATTTCTTCCGATATGAAAACCGAAATATTATCTGTGAAAAACGAAATTTTCTCTTTAGAAACTAAAGTTTCGTCTGATATGTCTTCTATGAAAACTGAAATTACTGCTGATGTTTCTTCTATAAAAAATGATATTACTTCCTTAGAAAGTAAAGTTTCTTCAGACATTTCTTCCTTAGATAGTAAAGTTTCTTTCTTAGAAGAAAATGTGTCTTCTGACATATCTTCTTTAAAAACCGAAATTTCTTCCGACTTGGAATACAAAATTTCTTCTCTAAAAAGTTAAATCTCTGTTGATGTGGAAAACAAGAGAAGAAAATAAAACAGGTGGAAAAGAAGATAGAAGAACTGGAACATACAGAACAGACCAAGGACGTTGAAATAAAGTGTCATGAAGTGGAGTCGAAGTAAAACTTGGAAGGAGCTGTAAACTCTGCTCGTGTGAAAGCCCCAACTTTGGAGACGATTTAGATGTTCTTCAGACAATACCTGTGGAAGAGACGGATGATTTTGAACAACTCAAAAAGAGACTAAACATGCGATATGGCCACGTACTCTTGGAGCATTTATACCAATCACACCTAAAGAATCGCAAACAGAAACGAGACGAGACTCTTCAAGAATATGAAGTAGATATTGCCAGGTTGTTGCGATTTGCCTACCCATCTACTCCGGAAAACATGATGGAATCTTTGGCACTCCAAAAATTTGTTGATGCGACTCCGTGACCACGAGATGCAGAAAACACACGTTATGAGTATGAGGCAGCTGCGTAGGCCTATGGAGGATACAGTAAAGTGAGGACTATAAAAGAAAAAAACGTAGAAGATATACTAAAACGTAGAAGATAAACTCGACCAACTAGTTAACATAATGAAGAGCTTTACTGATAAAAAGATGACGGCAACGACCATCCCTCTTCTGACACCAATGTAGCGTTTGTTTATTTTAAACAACAGTTTATATGTTAATAATTTATTTGAACAGTTATTTATTTTAAAACAATACTCTTCTTATTTATATATTTCGAATGTCTTTAAATTGTTCACTATTTATCTTCACAACTGTTTGTATACGACTGACTGCACTGTGTTTTTCCACCAATATTTATATATATTTAAAATTCTGGTGCACGATTTATCCGCAGCTAGCGCTAGTATCGCTTTTGCTTCCCTTACCATTACTTCGCACTGAGCGTTATAGTTGTATAATTAGGCAATCCAGTGGGTTTTAACAGATTATGGCAAAATTATGACAACCCTGTAGGCCTGGAGATTTGACCAGGTCAATGAAATATATAGTTACATAGATTGATCATCCATATTTTTCAAAATAAACATTTTTGAAAAATTGATTCTGATTAATGAGCACTTTCGAGGCAATATGGCCGCTCGTAAACGACAAGCTTTGAGAAATCTATATAACTATATATGTATACTTGGCCCTGTCAATGACAACAGGCTCACAGGGTTGCCATTTCTAAATGTCAGTTCCACTTGTCAGCAGTTTGACAGGTTTTTGGAATGCTTAATTAGGCATTCCAGCGAGTTGTCCAAATGGCTACCAGTGGGATCTGACAAGTTTAGATATGGCAATCCTGTTGTTATGGTGTCATTAACAGGGTCAATATAGGGGGTGGGTTGGCTCAGTGGTTAGAGTCATGACTTTGAGATCGGAAGGTCTCAGGATCGAATCCCACCGGTGTCAGGGATTTTTATTTAATTAAAAAAAATTAAATATTAATTCTAAGGCATAGGTAGGATTCCCCACTCGACCATTCACTGTTGGGTTCTAATTAACAGTGCTGTTCCTAAAGTGGCGCTGGGAAACAGTAACAAAGCCTACACAGAACACGAGGCTAATGGCCGTAGTAGTCGACGACGATGACACCAAATTAAAAAAAAAAAAAACAGGGTCAATAAATAAGGTGAACACACAGTGTACGAATTTATTTAAAATATTTTCTATATCTTAGTGTGCGTAAATACCTACTACTCTAATTTTTGAAAGGTTTTCAGAGCGTCCTATAAAGTTTCATTTTTGATTAAGCCGACGATAAGCTTATGTTTATTTTTAAAACCATGGATGATCAATCTATACTGTCTATATCATTGACCCTATCACACCACCAGGCTCACAGAGCACAAGTTGCCATATTATAACCTATCATGTGCCTGTCAGTGGCCTTTCATTTCAAACCCATTTTGTTTGGAATGCCTAATTGAATGTGTGTGTAAAATGTTGTCATTTGTCAATTTACCAACAATTATGTATTTTTTAAACATTTGATTGATATAATTTTTTTGATGAAAGAATTCTTTCAAAGCATAGCATGTGCACAGAAAAAAAGGTGTACTATATTTAAGATGAATGGTCTTATTTCAATGCTTTGTTGTGTTTGTATATCCACAAGTAAAACTCGTCTCGATTTGAAACTTTAATAATACTTATTCAACAATAGCTAATAAGCCTTGCTTCAAGAATAAAATCAACTTGCCCTAACTGAAATACCTCTGATTAAATGAAGAGCATCTATTGCTCAATTGTAGTATTATGTACATCTTAAATGAAATAGGCTTATTTTTTTTTTAAATATACTTCATTTATATTCAATAATACCTTGTTCTTAAATCAAATACAACTAAATTTGTTACAATAATAATATGAACTGTTCCAAGAAATGTTAATATTGGCTTTGACATAAATATATTGATTTTGCTTGAATTATAGGATAGTTTAATTAACAATTCTAATGAAATAATTTATTCTCAGATTAATTATTATAAATCTTAAAATATAAGGTTATGCCTACACTTCACTCACCAATTAATTTCTTATTGTATCGAGAAATATTATTGGAAGCAAACTCTGCTTTATTTCAAACAAATGTAATCTTCCAAGTGTAAAGTTTTTCTTGAATGTAGATGATAATTTTTTTCTGTGTGAAAAATCTGTTAGTATTCTACAAATATTCTTGACTTTCAATTATTACTGCCTATTATTTTTAAATTCAATTATAATGAATTGTTTTGCCTGTCTATCCTGACGTATTTACCCTCCATTCCTGAGATTGTTCTTCAATACAATTCATAGTTCTTTCATGGATTTTGCAATACACCGGCTGTGGTTGTATGAAAATAATTTTTTATTACATTAATTGGTCTTTGGTGAATTTACAAAACGAAGCTAATTTAACCGTTGATATATTTTATAAAATCTTATAAAAAGGTATCTAATTGCATGTTCTTATAAAAATAATTAATAATGGGAAATATCAACTGAACTGGTGATTTTTACATGCCTAATTACTACATATTTTGGTTTCTGATTAAGTAAAAAAACGATTTTGTAAATACATGTCACATTTTGATTAATGTTGTTAAATGTACAACAGTCTAACAAAAGAAATCAATAAAAGATTCACTTTCAGTATCGTTATTGTCATCCGTGTCAAACGTAACAAGTCGCCAACCTTTGTGCAAAAGCATCACCCCACGTCACTGGAAATTCATACGTTTCATTTATGAGAAAGTCTTTCTCGATGTGGGTCATGTTCAATACTTTCTCTGTTTACCTCAGTATCTCGCCGATATCATTTTAGTAAAGATCGTTGTTTGTTTCTAGACGAAATGAAGATAACCTTTGCGATAGCCTTGCTGGCAATAGCAGTTTTCAAAGAATCGCATCAACAGTGCTTTCCGCCTTACGTAGGACGACAACCCAGTAAAACTGGACATTTGGACTTGTATTCTGGACAACAGGAATTTTCCCTCGCTCTGCTGAGTGCCATCAATAAGGTGTTGCCAAATGACAATCTGTTTTTCTCGCCATATTCAACGTATCATGCGTTACTTATGGCTTATTTCTTGTCAGGGAAACAGACGGAGCAATACTTGAAAAAGGTTTTAAGGCTGAACCCAAACCAGGTTTGTATATACTTTATTATTATACTTAATACATCTATTAGATTTACCGATTAAGAATTAGTCACTTAATATCTTATTAAATTCTTAAGACAGTTTCAAATAGGATAAGACAGAATTTGAGGCAATAGTAACAATAATTAATACAAAAAAAGAGAACTTATACGTTTTACGTTACATTTTAATATTAATAAAATTAAATGTATCAAAATTACAGATTTTTAAAATTCCTCTTTTACGTCTTACTACCTTACCCCACCTTGGGTACGATTGTTACATGTATGGGTGTCAAAAGTAACTAAGAAAATAAATCGTTCATCTATGACAATATCCGGTAAATCAAGGGCATACCTATTTATCTTTGCAGAAGTCTAGTGCTTTTATAATTAGAAGGGAATCATTAATGATCTTGTGAACAGTTTTTACTTAATAACAAAATCGCTCTATATCCATCAACTTGGATTTGCTGTTCTAATGCACCCTATGGGCCCATATCTAATAAATCTAGAGCGCCAATTTGGTTGATACTTTTTTTGCATGCCAAAGAAGGCACAAAGCACCTAGGGAATTTTTAGTTGAAACCTATGTCATATTTTTAAGATATTTTAAGACTATTTTAAGGTTATTTTTATACCCTATTCAAAAATGTTATGCTCCTCATTTTTTTTGCAAAAATCAAGGTGCTTTTGCTAGCTTCGAAACTTCGAACGAAGTCAGCAGAGAACCTCAGTTTTTTTTTTAACAACATTATATTTTTAAGCTATTTTTAGGCTCTTGAAATATTATTATTACACTTTTCCATAAAAATTGATATTGTTAAAAAATATAGTTTGCTTTAATAGCTTCGAAAGAAGCATAAAACTTTTGAAAAAAAAATAGTATTTTTTTTCTAGTTTCAAACGAAACCAGTAGCGCACATAGTTTTTTTATAGTTTTTTTAAAGAACCGCACTACATTTTTAGGCTACTTTTACAATCTAGAAATATTGTAAAACTATTCGAAAAAATTGCTATTTTTAAATATACGGGGTGCTTTGCTAGCTTCGGACGAGGCCAATAGAGCACCTCGTTTTTTTTTAAGTTTTTTTGTAAAATCGACAATGTCATATTTTAGGCTATTTTAAGGCTATTGAAATGTTATAAAATTTAAAAAAAAATGCTAATTTTTACAAAAACGGGGTTCTTGGCAGTCATTGAGCGAACCAGCAGAGCACCTCGTTTTAGCTATTTCCTAAAAACAATTAGCTATGGCTAGGAAATCCTTTAATAAGGCAAGAACCACAAAACTCAAAGAGGACTGGGATACTTACAAATCGTCAGATAAAAACAGAGAGATGCATAGAGATCCTACTGCAAAGAAAACGAAGATTTGCCCAGACAACGAGGCTTCAGAAAGCTCTCTCAAAAGACCCACACCAAAACATTAGTGCGATAATCAAAGAGGATGGCACAAAAACTGCCAATCTCGAAGATAGCATCAAACTTCTGCTGTCAACACACTTCCCTGACTCGGTCATCACAGACGTGGCCGACTGGGCAGAGGAAGAATAAATCCATCTGTTTATGATTGGCAAACTGCCAAAAATGAAAAAATTATATGGGCCATATCCAGCTTCTATCCATTTAAATCGCCAGGACCTGACGGTATCTATTCAGCCCTACTTCAGTGGGATCTAGAAGAACTCACACCATATCTAGTGAGTATATTCAGATCCTCTTTGGCTCTGAAGTATATCCTCAAAAAATGAAGAGAGGTAAAAGTGGTATTTATACCCAAACCTGGAAAGATGGATTACACTGTCCCAAAAACATACCGACCAATTAGTCTGACATCGTTTTCCATGAAGATATTAGAAAGACTTTACGAAAGGTACATAAGGGATGCGGTGATTACAACAACACCACTACACCCAAACCAACATGCATACACCCCAAGCAGATCTACTGATTCAGCCCTTCATTTAGTTGCTGGCCGGATAGAAAAATCCCTGGACAATAAAGTGTCCGTCTTGGGTAATTTCATAGACATAGAAAGTGCTTTTGATAAAACCCAAAAGATAATACACTCACCAACCAACAGGAATGTTCCACAAATGGTTAGTGGGTGGATACATAACATGCTCTTATAGCGAGCAGTAAACATAAGTATAGAAGATGTGAATATAAGAGGCTTGATTGCGAGGGGATGTTCACAAGGAGGGTTGATATCACCTCTACTGTGGAATATGGTCTATTCACACTCAAAATTATAGAACAGTGGTGCACCATTCACTATCTATGGTTTTGAGAAGGAAAATGATGAAAATGGAATTAAAACCTCCAGAACTCCTAAACACAAAACTAAACTTTGCAACAGAGGTGAAGTACCTAGGTCTCACCTTTGACAGCAAGTTAACATGGAATTCGCAATTTAGAAAACAGAGTTAAAAGAACATACATAGCTTTTGAACAATGCCGCCGAACCGTGGAGTACACCTGGGGTTTCTCCCCCAGAGTCGTCGCATGGACTTACACAGCTATCATAAGACCTATGCTAACATACGGTGCAGTTCTCTGGGTACCGAAAACCCAAAAATTAACAGCTATCCGTAAACTAGAACAAATTCAAAGAACAGTATGTCTCAACATAACATGAAAACAACACCGACCAGAGCCATGGAAGTCATTCTTAGTCTCACTCCCTTTGATATTTACATCAAGGAGGTTGCTCTGACGACAATGACACGCCTCTGCACGGTTGGAATAGAACCTGATGTAGGATCTGGTGAGGCGAGACGTCGCTTTTAGCAAGAGGAGCTCGATACGCTCCCACTGCTTCGAACGAACATGGACTCCATCTCACCGAGATATATCTTCCATAAGCCATTTAAAGTTATAATAGAACAAATAGAAGATCCAGAAGTAGCAGGTACGATTTATATCTACACCGGTTCTAAAATAAAACAAGGCTCAGGATGTGGAATATACTCCAAATTCTTAAACTTAAACTTAAACTGGGCTGTGAGCAATAGTGCCAGTGTAGTTCAAACAGACCTAACAAGGATTCTCATAGCAGCAAAAGAAATAACCAGAAACAATATCACTGGAAGGAAGATGCTCATCTATACAGATGGCAAACAAGCACTACTCACCCTGAACAGACCTCAAATTTACTCAGGGTTAGTACTAGAATGTCACGAAGCTTTGGCCGATCAAAGGTCACGCCATATCGAAAGGTAACCGTCTTGCTGATTCACTAGCCAAGAAAGCAGCCAACCAAATACTTTTTGGACCTTGCCCTTCTATTGGCCTGACAAAATCGGTAGTGACAGACCTAATTAAAGAACATTCCCTTGTGAAATTAAAGAAAAGATGGAATGAAACAAGAAACTGCAGAGTTGCCAGGGACCTCTTAAGTTATCCTGACAACACTGCAGCAAACAAATACTTGACTATGACTATGCCAAGTACGGAAGCATCTCCATATCATGGGACTGTCAGACTCCACACTCTGCAGAGGGTGCGAACAAGAAGATAGACAATCGAGCATATCCTTTACGATTGATCGACGCTCTCATTTATTAGAAGATTTGTGTTCGGCGAGTATCGGCTAACTCCGGCCGATATAAGAGAAGCACCTCTTTTGGCGACGTTGTCAACTACATTAAATCTGTAGGCTGGCTCACAAGCTAGAAGGTGTCTATCATCTTAGGAGGATGCACAATGGGTCTAATGAGGCATAAGTGCTGTGGGGGGGGGGGTAACCCACCCTCCACACGTTACAGATACAGATTAGGTATTTCCTAAAAACAATTAGGTATGCAAAATTTTTAGGCTATTTTTAGACTCTTAAAATATAAAATATTTCGAAAAATTTGCTATTTTTAAAAAAATACGGGAAGCTTTGCTAACTCCAAATGAATCCAGCAGAGCCCCTCGATTTTTTAAGGTTTTCTCTAAAACTAATTATGCCATATTTTAGTCATTTGGAATATTATGAAATAATCCGAAAAAATTTACCATTTTTAAAAAATACGCGATTCTTTGCTGTTTTAGGTCTGCTATAATTTTTTGTATGATATTTTTAGAGCCTAAAAGTATCCTAAAAATGTGGTATTTTTGTTTTTAGAAAAAACAGCAAGTAATCGCGTATTTTTTTCGTAACGTTTTATAATATTTTAGGAGTCTAAAAATAGTCTACAAACGTGGTGTGGTTTTTAGAAAAAGGTGCTCTGCTGGTTTTACTGGCTTCGTTCGAAGCTAATAAAACATCCTGTATTTTTCAAAAATATATTAAAAAAAAAAACAAGTTAAAAAATCGTGGTGCTCTGCTTGACTTTGTTCTAACAAATCACCTTATATTATATCAAAAAAAGCAACTTTTTTCAGAAAGTTTTATAATATTTCAAAGACCTAATAATAGCCTAAAAATGGGGTTGATGTTTTTAGAAAAAAAAAAAATAATAATAATAAAGCTCTGCTGACTTTGTTCTATCAAAGCACCCTGCAGTGTTAAAAAATAGCACTTCTTTTAGAAAGGCTTTATAATATTTCAAGAGTCTAAAAATAGCCTAAAAATGTGGCGTGTTTTTTTAGAAAAAAAGCTTTAAAACACCGAGATGGTCTGCTGCATTCGTTTGAAACTAGCAAAATATAATTTTTTTTTTTTTAATTTTATATTTCAAGAGCCTAAAAAAGCCAAAAAATGTGTTTTGTTTGTTTTTAGAAAAAAGCTTTAAAAAACCGATGTTATCTACTGACTTCATTTGAAGCTATCAAAGGGCAACCTGTATTTTTTAAAAATACTATTTTTTTTTTGTAAGTTATATTTCAAGAGTCTAAAAATTATGGCACAAGTAGTTGTTTTTGGAATAAAATTAATAAAATGAGATGCTCTGCTGACTTTGTTTTAACAAAGCATCCTGTAAAATAGCCTTTTACAAAATAAAAATTTTAAAAACTGAGGTGCTGCTAGTACCTTGATTTTTGCAAAAAACGAGGAACATAACATTTTTTTTTAACATAAAATATATAAAGCCTTAAAATAGCCAAAAAATATGGCAAAGGTTTCAATTCAAAATTCACTAGGTGCTCTGCAGCCTTCTTCGTTATTTTTTATGCAATAATTCTATTGGATTTGTAAACTGTCGTTATACCTGTTTCAACGACGTTACAGATATCTTCTGCTAGAAATTTATTTCGTTCTAAAATTCTATTAAGATTATAAAAAAAAAGATAATCTCATCTTCAGAAAACACTATTTTCACGCACTTCCAAAGAATGATTTTATTTATTTCTTTGTTTTCTGTTTATAAATCTACATAGTGATACATGACATAGATTGAATAATGCACGTATCTACTATCTACAGTTAAACATAGATTCTACCTTTACAATATGTTAATAGTTTTCTTTGAGTAACGCGTTAGTGACTGTAGCAATTTATAAATAACACTAATCCGCTGTATAATGCTTAGTCTATCGAAAAAAAAAATCAATTTTAATGGGGTCTATTCTGTAACAATTCCTTTATATTTAACGGCCTTTAAAAATATTGGCGGCCTTTAAAATATTTTCGTATTCGTTAATTTACTTCTGTCATTACTTAAACAGATAATTGGAACAATCTCTTGGGGCTGAGAGAGGCCAAGATACTTCTGGGTGAATATAACCAAAAAAGATCGGAAGCCTGCATCTGCCTGAGCAAGAACAGGCTACGTATTGTAACAGGGATCCTTACCGGGCACTGCCGACTAAAAGGACACCTAAGTAAACTGAGAGTAGTAGAGGATAGTGAGTGCAGATTCTGTGAGGAGGAGGACGAAACCTCCATTCACATCCTAACTGAATGTGTAGCACTCCAGAATCCAAGGGCACTATATCTAGGAGGATATCAAATAGAAGAGGGAGACTTACCTAACTTGAAGCCACTTCAAATCCTACACTTCCTTGAGAAAATAGGATTGGAAGGGTCGCTATAGGCATTGAGACATTTCCTTAGTGCAGTGGCGACAGAAGGGGGCACAATAGATCTTTTAGGTCGCAGTGTATTAACACCCCATTATCAACATAACATACTTAAACAGATTTCTTTAAGATAGTTATTTAATGTATTTTAAAGATTCGTTTAAATAATGACAGAAGTAAAGAAGAAAATATTTTTAAAGGCCGTTAAAAATAAAGGAATTGTTACAGAATAGACCCCATTATCAGAGAAACAATAAAATTGCATTAACCATTAGTCAGTACTGCCATATCTGATTCAAGCATATTAATTTTATTATTAGCCGATAGATATAGATTAACAAAATTTCTAAGTGCTTATTCAAATGTTTCTGATGACTTTGTTATAATATACAAGATGTTTCAAAAAAGGTGCCCCCCTTTGCTCAGTAAAAAAAATTCGTAACGGCCTCCGTTTTCAAGATACACATTTTTTACGTTTATGTCAAAACTACTGGCAATATTATAAATAAATTTTGTACGAATATGTTTTGGAAGCTGACACATCGCATAAATTTGTTTTTATATCTGCCTCTCATAGAGGGCGCTAATTACACGGTTTAAAACATAACTTTTTTGAGATTACATTTTCTAGTCCAAATTTTATGTGAACTCAAACATCATTCAATTTTACTCCAAAAAGGGTACTCTTAGTAAAACTCGATACTGTGTACCGTTTTCAAAATATTTTGCTCCTGTAATACAAAGGTATGCTAGCCTTTTGTTTGTACTCCTAAGAGAGTATTGAGGGCTGTTTTATGGTTTACTTCTTGCCACCAAACAAGCGCTCCATAAGTTATCATGGGTCTTGTTATTGCCGCATATAGCCAGTGGACCATTTTCGATTACTTACAGATATTTTACTTGGTTTGTTCTTTTTAGCCTTTCTCCAAACAGGGTCGGAGTTTCTAAGACCTCTAACCTTGTTTTCCAAGTAAAGGTTATGAGTTGTGCCTTGTCAGGGTTTACAAAGAGGTTTTCCCTAACACATCACATTTCTGTCAGCCTTAGAGCTCTTTATATGAGTTCGAAGATTGTGATTTGGGCGTACAGCCCTTGATTGTTAAGTGTTTCAAACAGTTCATTTGCCATAGATTCCACAGTAGAGGAGAAAGAAGTCCATCCTGTGGGCATCCCCTCTGGATGTTCACCTGCATGGTTTCACTGAACTTTTGCGCCTGTACTTGCTGTCCACGTAACATGTCTTCTATCCTCCAGCATATGGTGTCTTCTATTCCATGTTTGCTAGCGGCAGCTACCATTGAATTAAAGAAGATATTATCAAAACCTCCTTCTCTGTCAAGAAATGCTCCTAAGACAATTTCTTGGCTACTGAGTCCCCTCTCTATCTTGGTTATAAGATGATGCAAAGCCTCTCTATCAGAATGGTTTGCAGGACATGCTGATCAATCAGTTTTTCTAATCCTTTCGATAGAAATGACGGCATATGTTAGGTATAAAAACCACTTGAGCATCACTTTAATGACCTCATAGCTGATCCTTAAGCATTTAGATGATTAATGCATTTTTTAGAAAAAAAGGATAGAATTGTGTTTTCGTAAAAACGAAGGACATTTTGAAAACTTATTCTAACTGATGGAGTATTTAATGTTTTTAGTCAAATTTATTTTAATTTTCTTGTGATTCTTTGTTTAATTAATAACATTAGTATTAGAATAATGTTATTGTTTTTGGTTTTTAATAAATAGGTAATTGTTTTTTAAAAATACCAACATCAGTTATTACTATCATTTTCAAATCAAAATATTGCGAAAACGGTACACAGTATCAATTTTTAGCAAGAGTACCATTTTGGGCTAAAATTGAATGGTGTTTGAGTTCACATAAAATTTGGAATAAAAAATTTTACCTTAAAAAGGTTATGTTTAAAATTACTCGGCAGATATAAAAACGAATGTGTTAGCTTCCAAAACATATTCGAACAAAATGTCATTACAATGTCGCCAGTAGTTTTGAGGTAACAGTAAAAAAGTAAGCATATATTTTTTTCAATGCCCTGTATCTTGAAAACGGTTGCCGTTATGAATTTTTTTTACTGCGCAAACCCAACCTATTTTGCAGTATTCTACTACGGGGTCACCTTTTTATAAAACCCCATATAATATACCTATAATTTATTTTCTAGGAAAAATCGGACAATTACGCAGCTTACAAAACTGAAAAATTTCTTACGGCACTCTTAGCCAAGAATGTACCGTACGAATTTAAAAATGCTAATAAAATATACGTCGAAAAGGGGGTGCCAGTCAGAGACTGCGTAATGAACGATTTTCCAGATGAGTTGGAATTGAAAGACTTCCAAACTAATCCAGAAGCAGCGCGATTAGATATTAATAATTGGGTTGAAAATATAACTCATAATATGATTAAGGATCTTTTACCTCCTGGAACTATCGACACCCAAACCAATTTGGTATTGGTTAACGCTGCTTACTTCAAGGGATTGTGGGAAAATAAATTTCCACCGGAATCAACCAGACAGGAGGTGTTCTATGTCAGTCCAACCAAGCAAATTTCTGTTAATATGATGCACGTTGAAGGTACTTTCAAACATGGTAAGTAACATTAAATAATTTTTCTTCTGGAACTGGTATAGATTTAACACTGCTGATATTCTCCTGCTGTTCCGTATATCACCTTGGTTAACCTGGTTAATAAAATCGCGTTCCGTAAATGTCAAATTCCTGAAAATTGTAGATTTACGGGACTCATGTCCCTGAAATGCGGTTGGTACCAGCTGTCACCAAAGTGACCAAACTTTTTCATCGGTTGTTATGGTTGACGTTGACATTTGTGATAATCATGTGTCATATCAGTTAATTTGTTTTGAACTTTTTTAATTTTAGAAGAAGGAATATTTTAGCAATCGTAAAAACATCAAAAAATAATATCTAGTTCAAGTTCATAAATATAAAAGACATGCAAACATCAACATCCAACAAACAATGCATTGATTTGACATGGATTTGACCTTTGACATTTAGAAGCGTTCCGTAAATATTTCACTTATCAAAAACCAAAAACGAAACCGTCCTGAAAACGCTAGTAACCGCTTTAACCACACCGGTAATATTCGGTGATATACGGAACACACGGTCTATAAAGTACCTGAAAATTATTTACATGAAAATTTCATACCAGTACTTTCTAACCAATCAAAATGTTTTTTTTTGACAGGTCATCATGACAACACATGTTTTTTATCGGAATTTTTTTCTACCAGCAAACTATAGTGGACATTTTTTGACATAATCACAGAATATATAAAAAAAAAGACTACATGTCCCAAATGTGCCTCCAATCACGATGTAAAAGATTGTAACTCTGCTAGTTAGAAATGTATACATTGTGCTAATCTCAAATCAAACCATAACATAAATGTTTCTGTTGATCATGTCGCTTGGGATAAAGATGGTCACTTCTATAAGAGAGCACAAACAAAATGTAGAGATAGCATAGTCCCGTCTCAATAGCAACCAACTAATTCATCTAAAAATCATGTCTGTATTAATTCAAGTTCTAAATTTATATTATACTATCAAAATGTCAGAGGCCTTAGAACAAAAACTACCCAATTATTTGACAGTGTTTCAGCTATTATACAATATGCAGGTTATTTTTTTACAGAAAGCTGGTGTAACTATACAATTCATGACGGAGAACTATTTGATCTCTTATCTTTCGATGTTTATAGGGTTGATCAGAAATATGAAGTAACGAATTTTTCAAGGGGTGATGGAATTATCTGTGCTCTGAAAAAGGAGCTAAATTCCAGTATAATTAATATAAGTGATCTCTGTATTTCAATTCCCACAAATACCAATATTAATTGTTTACTGATTAAAATAAAACCAGGTCCTAATGTTTATAAATTTTGCTTATTTACATACCCCCCTGTATTTCAGTTAATGATTATGAGGTAGTTCTGGAAACACTATCCTTTATATGATATAAGTATTTTAATTACTTTAGGACGAGCCAAAAACAAATTTCAAAGCTATATATTATTAGAGCTCACATTCCATCTGAAATATGTAGTCCTCACAATAGGAGTTTACAAAAAATTTGCAGTACGCACATTGGTACTGAACTTCACTCGACATTGTTAAAAATAACTTTTTGATAAAAGTAAACAAAAATTTTAAAAATGCACGGTTCAGTGAACCACAAAACTCGTATACAAAACATATACAAAACAACTTAACCTCAATCACGCATAAAAAGTTAAAATTGACCAACTTCAATCCGTTGTGACCTTGAAACGTGCCTGATTTTATTCCCTAAAATTTCATTGGTTGATAAATATCACTTGGTATACAACGGATGCATGTGGATCCAGCCTTAGAATACCGTTCTGTAATCTAGCTACCCAATTACACGTGTCACCAGAGATTAGTGTCACATAAATAAGATAGAAAGGATACAGCGCAAGTTCGTTAAATATCTACTATTCAAATTTCGGTTTCCATATCTAGATATCTGCTATGAAACGAGAATAATGCCTAGAAGATAGAAGGAAACAATCTCTTCTATTCCTTTTTAAGTTGTTGAATGGGACGATGTGTTGCGATTCCCTGTTAAAGCAAATCAACTTTCTGGTGCCTACCAGGCGACACACTTCCCTCTTTCAAGTAAGAAGAGATCGAACCCCTACTATGGACAGAATGCTTTTATTGATCGACTTTGCCAAAATTATAATAAATTTTCCGATTGTGATTTTTTAACCGACTTCAAAAAATGAGGAGGTTCTCAATTCATCGTAATATATTTTTTTTAATGTATGTTCAGCGATAATTATTCTTTAACACGGTGTCCGATTTCAATGATTCTTTTTTTGTTAGAAAGGGGGTACTTCAGGGATGGTCCCATATAAATTTGGTCAAGATGTGGTGATGGCATCTGCACGATTTTGAAGTCGGTTTTTTAAATTACTTTTGTCCACTACCACTTAATAATAAATCAATATTGTACCTCCTAACTAAAAGCATATAGTACCCATATATCACGGAGTGAATTACGATAATTCACGCTTTTGTAATTCTGGCACATTCCGGTAGATAACTAAAGATAGGCGATACTTTTCATAACGATATTTTCTAGATCGAAAAATCAAAAAATCAAAAAATCGATAAATCGAAAAATCGAAAAATCGAAAAATCGAAAAATCGAAAAATCGAAAAATCGATCAATCGAAAAATCGAAAAAACGAAAAATCGAAAAATCAAAAAATCGAAAATCGAAAATCGAAGATCGAAAATCGAAAGTCGAAAATCGAAGATCGAAAATCGAAAAATTGAAAAGTGGAAAAAACAACAGTTAGTTACCTATGTTTAATAAAAACTTTCCATTCTACACTTAACTTTTATTTAATAAAGAAACCATAATGGTCGTGGACAAAGTATAGTATTAGACTCGCAATTTATGGCTATTATTCACTCGGGTGAATAATGGCTACCATAAATTGCTCGTTTAATAATATACTATTAATACTTGTTAATATTAACATTCTTACTCTAAAAAGAATACTTAAGTTCGATGGTGTCTAACATATTTTTCTATTGTACCTACTATTACTTGTGTTTTTAGTGAATTGTATGTCTAGTTTATGAGTGTTTTTATACAATTTTACCTATTTACATTTTTTTTATATTTAGTTCAAATAGAAACTCTAAAAATATTTAACAAAAACCATTTTTATTTTTTAGATGTATCTGAAGCTCTTGGAGCCCACATCCTCGAAATGCCTTACAAAGGCGGCAATATAAGTATGTACATCTTACTACCGCCTTGGTCTGACACGGAAAACTCGATAGAAATGACTTTGAAAAAATTGACGCTCGAGAACTTCAAATCTGTTATTGAAAATGACAAATTGATTCCTAAGACTGTGCAAGTAGCTTTTCCCAAGTTTTCATTAGAAACTACTCTCGAAATGACGCCGGTAAGTTCAATTATTGTATTATATATCTCTAAATATACTTTTAGGACACCAACATAAACATTTTCTCTTCTCAAAAAGGTAATAACTTTAACACTCTGTATGTCGGAAACGATTCGGACATATGTTTATTGAGAAAAAAATGTTTATTTTGATGTCCCTTACCACTTCTAAAAATTTGACGGTTTATTTACATATACCCTGTATAGTATGATTTTAATATCAATTTAATAAAAGTTTGTTATTCCAGATATAATTGAAATACATATTGAAACTAGCAAGCCTTTATGATATAGTGAAATGAATTGTAGGTATATTTTTTGAATAGATAGAAAAATAAAGAATTTTTACGAAGCGTAGAAGGGCCACAAAATATATAATTTTATTTTTCAAACCTTAGAACTCAGAAAAATCCATTTTTTTAGCTTACTTACGTTTACATTGAAGTGATTAATAAATAGGTATAACATTATAAATTTAGATATCGAATGTTTGCACTGAAAATCAACGCGTACCCAGGTATTTTATTTGGAGGGTAGGGGAGGGACTTTTAGTATGCCAATTTTGTACAATGTTAAAAGAGAAAGAAGGCATTTAATGGCTACTAAATTATTAATATTTGAGGTTGTAACCCCTAAACTATAAAATTTAAGTTATTTCCAAAGTAGCATTTAAATTACTTTAGGGAATGATTATATTAAATGCAAAGTACGATTCTGTAAATCCGTTTTTATCGTATATCCGAATTCCGTGTCTACTATTATGTTGTTTGCAATGAGCCAAGTAATTTTTTTATTAATAACCTATTTTATTTAATTTTTGAATTGTAGGAAGTAAATAAATGCAACCTATAATGATTCCAATATCTAAATGTAAATGTGGTTTTCGACAGATATTTTAAAGGTTTTTTACAAAAATGCGTTCGAAAAATGATTCCTACTACTTATATCACCAGAGAAATTATTTAAAAATGTTGTCGGCACAAAAACAATTATTACTTCGACATCAACCACATCAATCACATTTTTCTAAAGTCTTCCCTATTTCACCAGAATATTGACGAGGTCCCATTGTTCTGCCATCCAAATGTTGGAATAAATGTCTTAATGGCAATTCGTTGGCGTGTAGTTGACAAATATCGTCGCCCTAATAAGAAAGATGCCTATCTCCGTTTTGGAAAAGGAGAGAAGAAAAACGTTATTTTTTTACAAATACATTATTACATTATAACTGTTCTTCTTCACATCTAACAAATATAACTTTGAATGTGTTAATTTATGTATACTTTATTATTTAAATAATACTGCAATTAACCTTTGATTTTCTTTATTCAAACTATATATGGTATACAACAAATACAACAACCATGTCAAAAACTAAATATAACTAAACAAACTAAGGCTGTTCACATAAAAATAGTGATACTAAATCATATTTCAACAGAATGTAACACAAAAAAAATCATTCCTACGCGTTACCCTTTTAAACAAAAGTGTGGAGCTAGATAAATTTCTTTTTGGCAACTGTCAAATCGGAAATCGGAAAATTTCTATTATTTTAATTTAAAATTAACCAGTTAATAGACCGTCAGATAGTGACTGATTTAGGTGCCCCATTTTCGCATACAAGCCTCGAAGAGGGTTGAAAAGTACATCGATTTTGAGCAGAATGAAAGGAAATTTACGAATGGCCTCTGGGGAAAACATATGGAAAATTCGATTTTCCTTAACAGAAATAAAAGGTGTTTCATGCAAGCCTTTTTAACCATAGAATGTTATTAATGTGTTAGACGTAATAATAAAATTGGCATGAGTATCGGATGTGGACGAAACGAAGGCTTGCGTCGGTAAGTTGCAGGAAAATTGTAGCTATTTGACATATGCTTAGAAAAAGTGATTCTAAGACTATACAGGGTGTTAAAAAAAAAGTGTCACAAAATAAAACGGGGGGTAGTATGGGCCAAAATATGCAGAAAAGTCTTAATAAACATATGTCCGCAAATGAATGGTTTCAGAGATACGGAGTGTTTTGTGTTTTGTATCATTTTTTGATTATCTTTTTTCATTCTCAAAAACTTGCTTTTCTTATCGGAGTCTACCGATGTTTTTTCATAGATACTATTTGCAGTTATTATTTTGTTGTGGGTGAATTATTTTATAAATTTTCGTTATGCCTGTTTACACTAATACTGAATTAGCTGACATGCATTTTATGTACGGTCGTGCAAATGGCAATGCGAGGGAAGCGCTACGTCAGTATTTGAACATCTCATTTAACTATATGTTGTTATTGATTGTTTATAAATATCATTGTTTTTTTATAATAATAAAACATTGTTATAAACACAAAATGGTCCGTATCTCCGAAATCGTTAATTTGCGGTCATATATTTATTAAGACTTTTCTGCTTATTTTGGGTCATACTATTCACCATTTCATTTTGTGACACTTTTTTTTAAACACCCTGTATAACAAAAGGCTTGAGTGTCGGACATGGTCATCTTATTAATTATATATAATTTATTTAACAAAAAACTGACAAAAAAAAAGTTTATAAATTTCCACCATTTTCCCACACACGCCTTTTGGCATATGCTTAGAAAAAGTGATTTTAAGAATATATATAAAAAGGCTTGAGAGTTGGACATGGTCTTCAAATTATTTATACACAATTTATTTAACAAAATGCTGACAAGAAAATAAATTTCCACCATTTTCTCACATATGCATATTATTTATAATTCGCCATATAAAAAAAAAACATAACCTAAATATCAAAACCTCAATATCACCCTAAATCATCTAAATATCGATTCTCAAAGGTATTTTATATTAATTTTATTATAAGAGTTGTAACGTGGCCGGACTATTCAACGACTAATTTTATACATTTTAAATATTTATTAACTTAACGCCCTTTTAAATGATTGTAAAAATTCAAATATTTCATTTGATTAACTAAATAAATGTATATCATAGGTAGTACTTACCAATTATTTAAAGAAAAATAACTAATGTAATGAACACAACAACCTGTAACTTCAATTTTAACCAAAAGAATAACGCACAACAATTATTTAATCTAATAACTTGTATAATTTGAAATAATGTCACATAATATCATAGGAACATCAACATTTTCTAATTGACTTCAAGAAAATCATTTTGATCTGTTAAAAGATTTATCTCATGACATTCTTGATTGCTTTAATATCTTACATAAATGCAATTTAAATGGTTTCGAAGTGTCTATTCCATAGAATACTTGATTGTCATCATTAAATTCTAGGATATCTACTTTTTCATGTTTAGTAGCTGTATTTTTATTTTATACATACATTAATTTTATAAAAATTCAAAAATGGACCAACATATCTTTGTAACGAATCTGTTAATAGGCCAAGTCTTTTCACCTCTGAGTAAAGTTGAAAGTAACTACTTGCTGATTAAACTATAAGAATAATGTTTGTTAATCTGTCAAGTAAACATACATGTAACTTTACTCAGGTTAAAAGATCGACCCTTAACAGGTATTTTAAAGTTTATATTTAATAGCCCTTTGAAAGAATACATAAATTTTTCTATAAAATAAACATATTGTTAATTCAGCACTAAAGTCATATTAAAATTTACTATACGAATAATCACCCAACAATAAATAATAACTCTGCATAAATATTTATTTGTAAATTTTTATGTCAGTTATTTTTTAGATAAATAATATGCTCCATGTCCGACACTCAAGCCTTTTGTTATATAGTCTTAGAATCACTTTTTCTAAGCATATGTCAAACGGCTTGTGTGGGAAAATTGTGGCAATTTGCATACACTTTTCCAGCAACTTTCCTATGTTCTGAAAATATGAAGACCACGCTCTGCACTCAAGCCATTATTTTTTTCTGGTCTCTTAAATTCATAAGTTTTTATTTCAAAAAATTTCGTTGATGGAAAAATAACTGAAAAATCGAAAAAAAAATCTGTTAAATTTTCCAACCTTAAAATGGACTTATCCACTCGCGCCACTCGAGCCAATATGTTTTTCGGGCTAGTTACGATGTATGTTTTCATACTCTCGATTGGCTTGTGTGGAAAAATCGGTTAAAATATTGATTTTTCTTTACAAGATTACGCACTTAATTCAACCCTTTAGCCACTTGCAATATTAAAGCCTTTGGTTTTTCGAAGCCTAGTTCTATTAATTAATCATATAGTGAAAACGGCTTGCGTGGAAAAATGAGCAAAAAACACCTTTTATTTCTGTTAAGGAAAATTGAATTTTTCATATGTTATCCCCAGAAGCCACTCGTAAATTTCCTTTCATTCTACTCAAAATCGATGTACTTTTCAACCCTCTTCGAGGCTTGCATGTGAAAATGGGGCACCTAAATCAGTCACTATCTGACGGTCTATAAGTAGACACTCTGAAATTTTGTCAGAAGGTGGCTTAGACGTTATTCTAATAGATGTTATCTAAATCCTATTTTCCCAAAAAAGTGGAATTAGGGTGAGATTACAGAAGGTCTGCAACTTTGCAGATCTGCAAATATGGCGGACTTACAGATGCAAGTATCCAAAAAATATCTGCAAATTCGCAATATTTATTACCCCTAACAACACTAAATCCAAATCCTACAACCATGAAGTCTTCTGTTTCTTTTGATTGAATACAGTTCATGGTGTCAGATTATCGAGTAATGGATTTGGGTTTAGTGTTGTTAGGGATAATAAACCACAATATATATTGCGAATTTGCAGAACTTTTTTGGAATACGAAAACTTGATACATGCACATGTAAGTCCGCCATATTTGCAGATCTGCAAAGTTGCCGCCATATTTGCAAAGTTGCAGACGTTCTGTAATCTCACCCTTAGGCACTTTTCTTATTAGAGCGACGATATACGATTGTAAAGGACGTTTATTTTTATTACCGGTTTTAACAACAGTATCATAGCAACCCACAGCCGCCAAATCATCTAGTTCCAAATTGTTTTTAGCAAAAAAG